AAACAAAATACAAACAGTTTTTCAACAGAAAAAGAATATCACATTACATCTGAACCTTTGAAATACAAAAGCCAAAACCAGCTATGTACATCTGGAGTGCTTAAGCTTTTAAACTGCTCATAAAGACATTCAGTCTTTCTGCACTCCAAAGACAGTTGTTTGAGTTCCCTGCCATATTCAACTCTTACACAGCTTGTGGAATTGTTACCATGCACGAGGCCACAGCCTCCAGAAGTCCTCCCACATGGGCAGTCCCTGCAAAGTCAGCAGGAATACTGCATCACACCACACCAGTTTAGCACCTTGGCAATCAGGGCCAAAGCCAACATCTGCTCACAGGCGCCATCTTGTACAAGATAACCATGGGCACAACTTTGCCAGTGCTCACCTTTCCAGGATGTGCACTCTGACTATTTTATGTGTTTATGGTACACTTGGGAAGAGGTTTACCAGAAATTATAGCCTAAAAAAACACTGGAAGCCCTTTCAATTGTGTCAATGGCTGAATACTGATGCATTAAAGCTGTTCTCTGAAACCATTCTCAATTTCTCAGAGCAGCAATCACTTATTGCATAAAGACTTCATTGCACATATAGTCTTAATAAAACTGTCATCATACATCTGTTTACACCATAAGTTTTCCACAAGAAACACAAATATAGCCTGTTAGATAACGCTCTCAATGACAAATACACCAAGAGGGAATCTGAAGCAAAATTGTCTGGAATGATTTTTTTTGAATGTCCATACTTCACATGCAGTTCACAGGTACAAGAAAATGAGAATCTACCCAGGTGGCACTTGGGAACTAGACTTTACTACAGAAAGTAAGTATTGCATTGACGCTTAAACAGAGATGCATGCAAAATTTAAACAATGCTTTTCCAAGAGGTTTGTCAACAAAACACAATTTTGATTAAAGGAAATAGTTTCTAATTTACAAGTCTGATGTATATTAAAATGCTCAGGAGTTCAAGATTTATTAGTCTCATCTTAAAAATTCTAGTAGAAACATGAATCTAAGTCTAGTCAAGGGGAATAACCTGGCATGTTTATGGACACAGCACTGCATTTATTAAAGTTAATGGTAAAAGGCCTATTGATTTTGAGAAGGTAGAACCAGATCCCATGGGAATTTCATAGTTGGGTATTTTTAAAATCTGATAATTTTGTGATCAGATACACAGCACTGTTTTTTTACAGACTGCACAGATGCTCTTACATTACCCATGAAACAGATTATCTTTATAACTAAGAGAGATGTTAATAATAATTAGTAATAGTCTCTATTTTTTCTAGGTTTGTGTAATTATATTCTAAATATTTAATTTTTCCATTCACCAACCTGATTTACTGTCTTTTCTAAAAATGAGTATTTTTAAAATTATTTACAAAAAAATAAAACTAAAGTTATATACTGTTTCTAAAACAATACTTCATATAACAGTACTTCATATTAACCCAGAGCTACTGCAGATCTTAATCATATGCAATGGATTACAAACATTTCAAGTGCTCTTTAAGAAATGTGATGTTAAAAACAAATAAACTCTACTCTCCATTCCCCTTGTGCTCTCAGCTATAAACTGTTACTGCATGAGAGTGGGATATAAATGTCCTGAATTCCTGTGACAGAAGGAATTTGACAAGCAAAATTCCCAGCTGATTTTAGGAAGAAGACCATGTCCCATACTGCAAAAGAAGGTGAAAATTCCCATGTCTTTGATAAACTGACCAAGTGAAAAATCCTTGTGACTTCAAACCTGGTGACTAGTTTTGAGAGCAGGAAGGCAGCACACTGACCTGGGAGAGACCAATGCTACCAGGAGCACCTGGACATATTTCTCTGCCTGCTGTCTACAGCCCTTCTGGAGGAGGTAATAATGCAATGTATCCAGAAGCTGAGTTTTTCAGTGGAAATGAAGGAAAAAAATTTCCACCTTGGTTCTGCTACATGATCAACAGATGTACTGAAGCACAAGATTTGAATGGTTTAAAAATGGTGAAAAAAACTACCAGCCCAGTCTTTTTTCAAAGTCACTGGAGATTTGAACCTCTTTCACATTTAAGGGTTCATATCACAAGCTTAAGTTCCATTCTCCTTATTTTTGTATCTTGTATAGCAGGGCACTGCTTTTATAAGCTTACCAAACACTGCCATAAAACACAACGTATTTTTTTGTCTTCTCTCCAGTTTGAAACTTCTCAGGTAGATTAAAAATGTTACAACTCCTAGCCTTAACATATTGTGACTAACTGGTAAGCATTTGTACTTGCATCAATATTTTTCTTACATTTAAATGATCTTTGTTATTTATGTACATAACTCTGTGCGATAGACAGGCTGTTCACTTGGTCACAGTAATAGCTGTTAGCATATAGCAGCCCTGGATCAAGTCAGTGATATCAAGACATAAAGAGTTTGCAATTATACGTTTTTGTGGGTTAAAATAGTGTCTCAGGCCTGATCTTCTCCATAATTATAATTAAGACCTCTAGCACACAGTCAGGTTTTCAGCTGTTCTGGATGGGGTATTTCCCTGGTTGAAGCACAGGGAAGTGTAGTTTTCCTCTTTCACTTGGCTGATGATTACTTAGCTGATACTAATTCAATGTATTTTAAGAGAAGATCACAACTCTAGCCAGCCCAATGGCTTCAAGTACATTTACATAAAAATGTGAATACATTTTATTCTTTCTATTGAAATATAACTTCATAGATTTGAATTTATAAAAAGAATATCTAAGTTTCCTTAAAGCAATAATTTCAAAGAACCCTTCAAAAATCATCCACAAAATCTTGCTCAGTCATAATGTTCTAAATCTGAATTAATGTCAGGAAAGGCGAATTAACAAAGTGAGATGACTTTGTTTTACATTTCCACATGCTATGAGCTTCCATATCTGTTAATGCCTTTTTAATGCTGCATCTGCCCAATCAATTGTATTTCCCAGTGTGATGTTACATAGAAATGTGATACCACCATGTAGAAAGAAAAATAAAGACACAAATAGATATCTGATACAAAAAAAGACATATGATGTATATACTTTTTCTTTACTTACAGATACAAGCACTGGTCACAGCAGCATACAATATATACCACTGATTAAAAGGGGACAGAAATGGGCTTGCAAACTCAAAGGCAAGTGCTATATCAGAACTTGTGTCCATACAGGAGATGTCTTCTTGTGCTGAAAAGCTTAATTGATGAAATGAAATTCAGCAGAAGAATTCCTTAACCCACGTTAACCCAGCCCTACTGAAGCCCTGTCCTTGTGTTAGTGATAAACCAAAATCATGCCAGGAACTGTGCTGGTGACTTAACGGTGTGGAGGATCCCTTGCCAGTTCTCTGACCCATGCCCTGGCCCTGGCCAGTGCCCCACAGTGACACAGCCTGAAAAGTCCCATCCCACTACATCAAAAAAGTCAACATGATCTCTCCAGTGAGAGTTAGACTTGGCCTTGGGCAGATAATTTTATTAACATTCAGGAAATGACAACATAAGCAAAAATAACCCCAAAGAAAAACAAAAAAATAGAAACTTGAAAATGAAACATATGCTTGCAGATTCATTGCAAAAGCAAACTGAAGCAGAAGTTGCTAATACAGTTTTAGTACTTTGTGAAGGTGCCAGCTGGATGGATGATAATTTTTCTACCCCTGCAGGGCATCAAAGCTTTTATAAAATCATTCTTTTCACACATATTAGCACTTAGCTTACTAAAACAGATGATACTTTTTTTTTTTTTTTTTTTTTTTTTTGGTAAGGATGCCTGGGAGAGTCTGGAAATATAAAATCTGAGAGTTAAGTCTTATTTTGACCACCCAGTCTAACAAACAACAAACACTGACATGACATACCATGGCTGAGAGTCTATATTATGGGACCTTCTGTGACTGCCACAACTGAAGTGTCATAGTAAAGGCTGTGAATTGCTGTTATGAAAACATTTGCTGTATCTTGCATAATCAAATGAAACTGCCAGAAAAGCTTTCTAAAATACATAGGAGATGACACAAATACATTTCAAAGTCTGTATTACGTTCCAGAATTAGTTTTGTAATAAATTCCATTTCACAGTGCTAGAGATGACTTCTTTTCCTGTTCAAATTCCTGTATAATTGTGACTGAGATAATTGTCATGTAAACTGATCCAAGCTTATAGTTAAATAGCTTTTATTTTACATATATTTTACATGTGTAGTGTTTTAAATTTATACAGAAGGTACTATTTCAGCTGCCTACAGCTTCTCCTTCAGGCAATTAAGAAAAGGACATACTAGACATAAATTAGTAGTCAGAACTTGAATGAACTGAAATGTGATCATTTCTAACAAAAAGATGAGGAATCAGGGCAAAGGAATGAAAGGAAGGAGGCTGCAGAAGTTATTATCAAAGCTGAGGAAAATTATTGCGTCCACCTTGAGGATAAGGATTACTCTGAAATTGCAGAAATCAGATTAGAACTTTGAAAATGAGTTTGAAAATTCAATAAATGTTTATAAATGTCAACTTTAAGAAATTGAAAGTCTTGAACTGGAAATCCATAAAACAAAATTCTGAAATTCATTCCACGGAAGTACCAGTCAAACCCACAGTTGTACTCTGTACTCTTTCCATAGAGAAACAGGCAGTGATATGTAAAAGTTCTTAATTTAGGGAGATTTAGTCTGCAATGGAACCCACAAACCACACCAATCCAATATTCTCCATTAACAAATTAAAAATTGAAAGATGGAATATAATTGGAAAAATTACTATTTCAAATAATAATATTCTACCAATTTTATTTCTGTCTTCTAGTACTTTAATTTTCAAGAAAATACTTAAGGAAAGGCCACCCTTGACAGCTGAAGCTTGTAAAAAATGAGCAAAAGAAAAAAATCAACAGAGAAGAATATCTGAACAGCTTGCTTAACACCATCAAAATCCAGCTTATCCCTTCTGATGTAGCAATGATACCAGAAAACTTTGCAAGGCTAGTTACTTACATCAAATAACTTCTCTATGTACATTTCCTCATTGACCTTTTCTCGAAGGATATCCTGGTTTTGCCGAACAAACATAATGTAGGTGTCTGCTAGATCCATTCCTGGTTTCTGTGAAGACAAAAAGTGAGGGGAGAAAGTAATGGGAAGGGAAAGACAAACCCCTCAACAACTGAGACTTAAAGAAGATAAACATAATGAAAATAAATGTTACCATGTTCATACATGTACAAACTATTAACAAAATCTGCTGTGAGTTCTGGGTTAGTTACCATGTTCAGGAGATTTCACTATCAATGTAGTTCTACATATTTTAATTTATGGATGTTCTAAGTCATAAATCTACATTGCTATATGCAGTTCAATGGAATCTTGCCTCTGGCAACATCAGTGGCAAATTTGGACATCTTCCCCTTTTTTTGATAGTGAGGCTTTCATAAGACAGCCACTCCAACCTGAGAGTGGAGATCCAAATCCTGCTATCACATTCAGAAAATGCTTAAAAAAAGCATTCAGTTCCTTTTTCACTGCCTAAGATTTCTTCTAATTTACTTCCAATGTACAGCTGAATTTTGTTTGACATTAGCTTCAACTAACTGCAATTCAAACTAAGCTCAAGCACATCCCTGAGAGCAAACAGCAAAAAAAGGCTGTTTTGAGTGTAGTCCTTTATATTTTGTAAACTGTTGAACTGGTGCAGTTAGCCCAGATGATGGCTAGGGGAGGAGCAAGGACCAAAAATTTTCTATGTTCTATATGAATAGCAGAGCAGGCATAATTTTTATACCACACGCCCAAACATGAGCCAGGCTAGGATATGTCATGTATATGTGATACCACAGCTGCACAGGCACAATGAAAATAGGATATGAACAACACAGTAAAATATTTAGCATATTTTAAAAGTCTGTATGTGTGAACATGCTCATGTAGTTAAAATACTAACATATCATTTTATATTAAAGCTTCCTTTTTAGCCTGCAAGTGAATATTCAACTTTAAATTTTTCTTATTTCTTATTATCTTGTATATCTTATTTTGTAATGTATATGAACAGGTCTGAAGCACAAGAGGGAAGGAGAGATGCAACATGTCCATACCAAAACTTGTCCAGAAAATGCTGTCATCTATTACAGTAACAGGATGACAGCATTCTTCCCTCAAAGCTGGAGTGAGTGAAACCTCCTGGCTTATGAGTTTCAACTCTTTTTACCCTGAATCTAGCACAGACATATAGAAAAATAAGTTCCAAAATATAAGGTTTTTTTTTTCATTTATATATGTACACAAATGGCAGTTTCATTTTTTAAAAGTAACCATTAAATGTGGAATGCTGACCAGCTTTAATACTTGTAGCATCTCCAAAACTCACAATGAAAAGCTGAAATATCTCCTTCACTTGGACTGGTCATTCCAGAGGCAATGAACATTCATTGCAAAAACTTATCCCATCTATATATGTTTAGATGAAACTCTTAAGAGTAAAGCAGGACCATTGATATTTACATCTGCATCACACACCTAAGCCCTAAGCATAGAATAAAAAATCTAAGACTTCAATAGGTGAAACATTTTCTGTTGGAAAACCTGACTGAGAGAAATCAATAGATCTCCTTCATAAAAAAGTACCTTCACTAAAATGTGATAGAAATTCTTTTATAATAAGACAAATCACAAAGTGAAGCAGATTTAAAACAGAAAACACCATATTTTACCTTGGTATACTCATTTGTGATGGCACAAGAGAATATAATCAGTGTTGAAACCTTATGTACTTTCTAAAATCTGATAATAATTTATAGGAATTGGACTGGAGTTAACTTGGAGGAATAATGGAAAAATATTTTGAAATCTTCAGAGATGGGTGAAGGAGATAGTCTAGTAAATGAGAGGCTGATTACAGTTCTTGAAGATATACATTCAAATGTATTAATGAATCTTCCACTGAATTCTAAAGTCTATTGGTTCTGCAATTAATAGAATATTTTCTTTTACTAAGTTCAATAAAAAATATTCATCTTGCAGACAAGCAAAGCAAGAAAAGTAACATTTCCCATCAGCATTAACTCCCTTATCTTTGAGATGTTTACCTAGTCTTGAAGCTGTGACATATGGGAATTTCACACCTAGTGAATATATTTTCATGTAGCTTGTGGCACAGGAGTGTAATCATTAAAAGAATATACACAAGTAAGAGTAACTGCAACAGCTGGTGACATTTACCAATTAGAATTACAGTTCTTTAAAACACTTCATCCTTCTTAATGTGTGCAGGATAATTATCTTTGAAATTGCTGTGGAAAAAAAAATTAATTTTCCTTTTAAATAGTATCTGACTACAGTAGAAGTAAGTCTGTGTAAGGCAGATTATCAATACTCTGAAGTACGTCTGTTGTAAACCTCACCAAAATCATTGAAGGTTAATCATCTTTGCTCATGGTGGGCAAAGTATACATTAAACACTGAATGAACCAACAGTATATCAAATACTTCATTATCTCTTCATATTGCATGCATTGAATTTATTTGTTTTCTCCAAGTAAGTGGAAGAAGAAAAGGAAGCTATTGTAAGCACCAAAATAGCTTTAATGCTGAATAGTTGATGTTATAACTTTTTTTGTAGGGATTATGTATTATTTGGAAACCTCTGATTGCACTATCCTCTACTGATCTGTCCTAAATTATCAGAAAAAAACCCCAAGTTAATATAGAATTAAACAAACAAACAACAACTAAGAAGTTTCATGTACCTTAGAAGACAAACAAATAGAAACTGAGATATATTTTAAATAACTGTCACAGGGAGCATTTAACTGAAAAGACTAAAGCATTCCAGTCCCCACATCCATACTCAATAAAAAAAAAATCTCTGAATCTCTAGAAGAACATCTGCTGAAGTTAATGAGAGTTATTTGCACATCTTTGGGAGAAAAATTTAACCTGGTATGCTATCCAGGTAAGAATAAAAAAATATTGTCTGAAAGTTTCCCCAAGAAAAAAGGTGGGTTTTTTAATGATAGATAGAAAGTTATTGTAAGTTTGTTTTATTCAGAACAGCAGACAAGCTGTTTTGCCTATCTGAAAATGAAAGAGAACCAGACAAAGAGATGAATGGAGAAACTGGAAACACAAAGACATCAAATAAAATACCAGGAAATTAAGAGTTGTAAATAGGGTTACTTTGTCACTGGTTACACAAGTAACTGAATACACTGGCGAGTGAATGAGTTTAAACAAGGGTGTAGGCTTCAGCACATTCTTTTTTAGGGTTAATCACTAGTTAACCTGGCAAGATGAACATGCTGTTTGGGGAAAAAAAAATTAAAAATCCTTGTTAATTATATATTGCAAGTGCTCTTACTTCCTGCTGCTGCACCTAATCCCACAGGTGCAGGTTGTCTCTTACTATTCAGTGGTAGGTGGGTCCTGACTGCCAGGCATCTTTTCATACCAATAAATTCAGATAAAGAAGAAACAGCTTAATTTTCCCCATTTGAACAGGAAAACATTATCAAAGTTTCTATTTAACATGGACACAAATGTTAAAACACATTATTTCAGCTTCCAAGATGCTGTAGAAGCCGTTTTATGATTGACATGCATGGGTCTCACTGGCAATATTTGCCTGAAGCATCTACTGAAAAGTAATGCTGCATTGCCTTAAGTTCCAGACATTCAAATATTTTGCTGCTGAAAGATTGCAGTGGGTTTAATGCTGCCACTAATATCAAGCATTTTCCTACAGGCCAGGTATACCTAAGATTCTGAACAGTATTTAACAATGCAACAGTTTGGCATAAATCTCAGTGAAAATCATGTACATTTGTGATACTTAAGTTATTTTTATTCTCACTTTGGCATTTGTCACAGAACATTTCTTAGCATCATAGACTATTAAATGAACTTATATCACCAAAAAAACCAAGAAACCAGCCTCAACCCACTACACTAGTTTTACTGAGTTGCTATCTTGCCAAAGCATTAATGTTTCAGAGATGAGAACAGATGCTAGAGACTAACAAATAACAATAACAATACAATACAATACAAAAAATACAATAACAAAATTCATCCGGTTTAGTGCTTGTTCTTCTCTCCACTTCTTTCCCCTCCCTTGCATCCTGGAGAGAGTAATTTTAACTACAGCATGGTTTTAACAATGCAATGAAAAGGAGTGATGAGCTGGAGGGGGCTATTGTGAGGAACACAGGAGCTCCTTATTCAGTGTCTACCACTAAATGAAAGAGCATGTTGGAAAATTTCACTGCCTGAAAGTTCTTCTCTAAATACTGCAAGGCTCATCACTTGGGCTTTGGAATTACAAAATTAAAGTATCATTAAAATACTTCTGGAATAAAAACTACTTGTATGCATGGCTAGATCATCATCCCCATAATTTCTCACAATATGAAATACATAAGCCAGGCAGGAAGGTGCACTATTTGCATAATCAGTCTATTATAAAGGTAAAATTTTAATTTCACATGGTTATAAAATAAATTGTATTGTTTAAATGAAAATTACAATGCATTTTCTCTTTCTCAAAAACATCTTCCTGAAAAGGAAAAGAAACAGCAACTTTGGCAAGGAGGAAATGTGTGTGTTTTGAGAAGTGTGGAAAATTTAAACTGTGATTCTGCAAGCATTTACACAAACACCTTTTCATATACATACAGTTTCATTGTATTCATGGGGCAACACATGCATGCAAATGTCTGCAGTGGGATTTTGATTCTTCCAATCACTACAGCCCCTATGACAAAATTTGGTTTTAAAATATGGGGTCTTTTCCTCCATAAACTTATATTTTACTACGCAATTTTAGCTTTTCTACTGATTAGTAGCCATCCTTCTGATTGCCATTTAAGAGGTATCTCAAAAATATTGCTGCCTTAAAACAGATGCTGAAGGGCTTTCCCTCCAGTTCTACAATAGCTTGTTTTCACAGATTGGAAAACAGAAGGGCCAGTTCCCAGATCTGGGTATAGAGGAGAAGGAAGCCAGGAGAAGCCCTAAACACAAGGATAATATCCCTTCCGTGGTCTTTTTTTTTTAAATAGAGTTCTACAAGAAAATCCAGCTTTAAAATGAATAGCACCATACAGCCACACCTGAATAAACACCTATTTCCCTCAAAAAGTTTTTACTTCTTAAAATCAGTTAAATGAGACCATTCAGTACAAGTGTGATATTTGAAAATGAATGTATCTGGATGGTCCCCATGTGTATCTGCCTGGTAGGAGGCAGAGCTCCTTCTTTGGCCTCTACAAGACCCCGTAAGTCAAATGCTGGCACATGTGTGAGGCCCCTTTTCATACCTTTGATCCCCACATAAAGGCAAGAGCGGAGTGAGAGGGCTGGCATTGTGAGAGCTGTGCACTGCTGTCAGCCCTGGCTCCTTCAAATGGCCTCCCTGCACTTGCTATGACAGGTGGCCCATACGAAGAGAGGGAGGATTAGGTTCCTTCTGTGCCCTCTAAGTAGCTGGCATAGATTACTGGCTCCTACAAAGGGATTTAAACATACCTTTCTGAACAAAAAGCAGTATATACATGAGCATGTAACTGGATGCTCAATTTGTATGAGTAATTGCTCTGGTTCTATTTGCCAATGCAGCAAATGTGTGTAGAAATGGCCAGCTAAAGACACAATAATTTGTATGCAAAACTGACTTACATGATGAGAAATTGAACACAATGAAATTATCTACATGATTAAGGAATGATAATCGTTTGAGATTAACAACATACTTTACTTGAACCTCAATTTTACTGCAATTCTTTCCCTATTCTCATTAATTACCTGGCTTTGTGAACAGAATATTAAAAAAAACGGAAAAATATTAGGTTGTACTTCTACATATCCATCCTATGGATTGCTTAGACTTTAAGAGAAACTAACAAAGGATTATAGTGGATTTGGATGAGTTGTATATTCAAAACAGCTTCTGTACTCTCAGTTTTCAAAACGTAGCATTAAAAAGAGAACCAATGCTATTCTTCACACACTACTTGCAACACTTACGTTATTTTCCTCCAAACATTTGGTTTCTTCCACCTGCACAGCAGCCACATTTGTTTTCCACTGCAGAACCTTGTGTACTGTGACAATTACCAGTGAGGAGAGTGTATCAGCAACTAGATTTTTTTCATTATTGTTTTTAGGAAATCACAAGGTATCATTATACTTCCTAGTCTGGATAATTTTGCACTATTGCTATTATTTCTGCAGGGGTTTCAATTACCAAAACATACATAGTGTCCATATAGTCCTCTATGCATAGCGGTGGAAAGCAGTGAGAGTTCCTTGGGACTGCATGTGTCTCACTTCTTGAAGGGCATTCTGAAAAATTGAGGCTTATGTTGCATATTTTCTTAAACAGTTTAAAAACCCACAAAACCACTTTTTTTTCTTCTCCTGGATGTAATTAATCATAATTCTCTAGCAAGATTAATGAATAGAGTGGTATACAGCAAGGGTAGGTAGCATTTTTACTAACCTATCTGTGAAATGAACCACAAGTCTGTGTCTATCTTTCCCACCCTGGTCCTGAGAAATTGAGGGATGCTGTCTAGGGAGTCTGCACCTTCATGTCCAACTATTTATTGTCTAAACCCTCTCTCAATATTAATGGAATTAACCTTTTCCTCAAAATGACCAAAAATCATCCAGGAATGTCTTCCTTCCTTTTCAATAATTTACTATTTTTATTTACTTTTATTTAACTTTTTTATCCCTTTTACCTCTTATCCTCCCTCTAAAACATTTTGCTCCATACTACCTTCATTTTCTTCTAACGTTTTCTTTGCCTAGTTAGCTTATTTTTATTTCACTACAAACCAGCATATTTTTCCCTGTTTGCCAAATCCTGGTAATCAAAGATCAAAAACTCTGTCAAATCCACTCACTCAAAGAACCTCCCCAAACCCCCTGACCCACCTCTCCTCCCCTTTCTCTAGATGCACTGAGTGATCTCACTTGGATGGAGTGGGGCACAGGGGCACAAGGCCATTGTCTAACACACTGCACATATCTGTATCAAAAGAAAGAGCTGACTGTGGTCACTTTAAAGAAACTTTCACACATGCAGCTATATGGTAAGGAAGGACAAGAAGAAATTTTACGACACATTAGGTCAAAATAAAACCACGAGGCATTTAATTAGCTTCAGTGCAGGCCTGCTAGGTCACTGTCACACTACCAAGAGCTCAACGTACATTCCTCCCTGTGTGCTGCCCCTCACTGCACTTCCCACTTCAGCTCTGAGCCCAGGAGATGACCTTGTGATGTGACAGCTTTCAGCCTCCTCTTACAGCTGGAATTTTTAACTTTGACATCTGGTGATTTTAGGCCCTATTCAGACTGGACAGCTGCTGTCAGCTGTGGCAGTAAGGGCTCTTGGCCTCAACTGCATCCTCACAATAAAAGAACGTGAAGAAGCAAAAGCAACCTGCAACCTATGAAAATCTTTCAACCCAGGTAAAAAGACCTCCAGAATTTGGAAAATCTTTGGGCAGATCCACAGAAGCACACTTTACATTTGTAGCTTACAGCTGTGGAGCTATGGTCCAATTTAAAAGCTCGGCTGTGGGAAAGGTGTGTGAGAAAGCTGGGAGGTGAAGACATTGTGATAACACAAGGATCTTGATGGCCTGTCAATAATCTGGTCCTTTCTTCAAGCCAAGCACCACCATTCAGTGAATGTGAGAAGGGCAGTGGGGCTCCAGCAATCATCTCCCCGCTCACCTCCCTCTTTCTCTGAACAGTGAGTACATCCCTGTGTGACATGATTTGCAATATTCCCCAGAGCTTGTGGCAAAGGTATTTTTCAGTCTTATTTTTATTGTGAACTTCAACATCAATGTATCCAGGCCAATGGTAAAAGACTTTGATGTCTCCTCCTCACAGAGATGTAATTTGGAGAGTTTTCCATAATATCTGAAAGAAGCCAATGAATTTCTAAATTGTCCACTAATTTTTTCTTTAGGCCTTTGGGTCTTAAGTGTCCCAACAAGGACCTCTTGCAGCAGCTACACAGCACAGCACAATATGTTAAGAAAAGGTAAACTAAATTAACTGGATTTGATATGAGGTCATCCCTTTGAATGAAAGACAGCCTACTTTTTTCTTTTTTATGAAACAAAAGAGCACTTATTTAAAAGATAAAAAAACCCCAGACAACAAAATAAGAAAAAAGACTGAAAACATCATCTGAAAACAACAGAAATGTAACAATTTATCTTATGAATAAAACAAATATAAAGACAACAAAATAAAAAATTCCAGAAACAGAGATTTTTCCTTTTATTTAACATGCATCAACTCAAAAAAAATTCACTTAAGCTTGCATTTTTCAGGATAGAACTGCTGAAGGTTTTGCTGATGATACAGTGATCATATTTGACCATGATACAGTTTAGCATATTTGGAATTCATCTATGTTTTTATTTAATTTTTCATTTATATAATAACTCATGTAATAATTGTAGTCTTCTTTTGCTGTGCTTGGAAAATAAGATTTTTTTAGAACTGCATTAAAAGGGGATGAGAATGCAGACTTAACAGACAGCAAGTGATATTGACAGTGAAAATTACAATATTAAATAACTTCACTTATTTAGAGAAAAGATATTCTACTCTCATATTCTAATAAAAATATTTTAACAGCTGAATTTTGCCTTTATGTATAAAAGAACTCCAACAGTTCCCCTTTATTTTTTACTTATAGCACACAAACATTGCACAACCAATGGTAAATCAAATGGAGATTGAGCAAGCAAGGGGTTAAATAAGCAGATCTGAGTCCTGAAGTAAGAAATCAAGTTATAATGGATATTCAAGTATGATGCTTTTACTTGTTGTTTATACTACACATTTGAACAATTTATCCAAATTATGGTAAGACCCCCACAAAAGGGTATCTAAGTTACAATCCTCACTCTTCCATAACTGAAAAAGTGCATTGAGAATAACCTTTCCACAGTTTGCTTTGAGAGTTACTTATTGCACAAGGGAAATGAAATGTCCTCTCAGGATTGTAGTGGCTGTTTAAATACTCTGTGTAAAGCTGAAATGAATCTCTGTAGGAAAGCAAAATGTCAACAATAAAAAATGTGAGCTAAAGCCCCCCAAATTTCTGAATTATTATGAATAACAGAATAAATAAATCTAAAAGTATTATACTTACCGGAACATCAACATATTTGGCAGCTGCTTTTACCTTTAGAAAATTAAGCATAAAACACAGAGTAAGTACTTATTGTTACAAATCGCACACAATTTCAAAATTATGCACAGAAAGAAAAACAGAACCTTTGAGAATCCGAACACTTACAGTGAATGAAACTAATGATGAGAAGAAAGTACCTTCATCATATCTTGACAATTTAGACAGCACACCTTCTAACACTGAAACAACCTGGAGGAAAAGAACAGAGAAAAATCTAAATGCACAGTGTGAAAGTTAAGTATTTGGAATGAGAATGGAAATTTTTCTTCCCATTCTTGATCAGAAGGGCAACATGAACTGTAAATCTGAATTCCATCTCACAAAGTGCTGAAATCAAGGATAACCTTTCTGCAGCTTCACTTATTGATCAAACAGATGGAAACTTCTGAAACACTGTAGAAATAGAAACCCAACCAAAGTTTCTCCTGAGGCAGGCCTGCTTCCAACACAACACTGCTGCCTCTAGAATGTGGTTGAATATAGCAGTGTGTGTACCCAGCACAAATTTTGTGCAGAAATCACATTATTTTCTGTGACCACAGCTTCAAGGAGATGGAGCACAATTGCTAAAGGTGGTGATTGTGATGTCATTTTTCTCTTATCTTTGCTATTAAAGAGAAAACCAGCTCTGATTTCACCTGAAAGTGTAGTAGCACTGGTTTTCTGTCAGCAGCATGAGCTGTTGAGCTGCTACTCCATGGCCAAGGAGGCAAGAAAATGTATGCCCAAAGTCTCTGGTATGATGTGGTTTCTCTCCCCTGGACTTTCACCTGCTATTGTCTGAGTAGTGTAACTCAGTAAGAGGTAACAATAGGTTTTTTTGCCAAAATTTTGTTCTGACCAAAAGAAAATAAATCTTATTAATTGCAGTTATTACAGCTTTAAACTCCCCCAAATTTACCTTAAAGCAAACAAATTCCCTTTTCACATCCTCTGTGATGTTATGTTGCTGAAGTAATTCACAGTATATAACATAAAATATCTGTCAGCCATTGTATCCATGCACATTTATTTTACACATATAAATTGCTTTCCAGTTTATATAAAGATTGTTTTAAAAGCCATCCCTTGCTCCCAACGCAGACATTCCCACAACCAAGAGTATCATTTTATGAGTGTGAGGACAGAACAGAATTCCATCTGGCATGCTGTTAATGGGCCCTGTAACAGTGTCACAACAGTGTCACTTCCAGAGGAATTGAGATCATCACTTTACAATAAGCCCTGCTCTTAACAGTTCAAGGAGCAGGAGCAAGTGCAAACTTACATTTGTCATTTATCAATCTAACCTGTCATATTTACAGTGATTAATTAAGACACTGGTACACAGGTGCCAATCAAAGAATAAATCCACATCACAAGAGAGAGGGGCTGTTGTTTCTGCACCCACTTTATCAGACCAAAACTTTTTGCTTTGCACTTGCATGCCTGTGAGAAGCTGCTGTTCATACTTTAATTCATTTTATCTGATTGACAAGGATTCTTTCTGCAGAAAAGTGTTCAACTTTGCTGTGCAAAGATTACCTAAAGAAAAGGCTGACTTCATAAAAAACATGGTGCCCGCAGTGCCAACACATCCAACACACAGTGCAAATGAATCCAGCACAAGTGGGACACAAAGTAACAGAGAGCAAAACATGTCCACGTCAAGGATGTCTGTTTCAACAAAAGGCTTAGTTATGTAGCTGGAAACTTGTTTTCTGAGATGTCAGTGTACGGATTTGTGAAACTCTAAAAGCATTTCTGCACATACCTCACATTCTATGAATTGGTTACCCTGAGACACATTGCTCTTTGTTTCACTGTTTTGTGCTATTCCTGTGATTTCTTAAACGCTTTAGACTGACACATCTTGTGTAAATACTACCCAGTATAACTCTTAACAAGGAAAATCTCACTGAAGAAGAAGCATTATTTTTAGCTTCATAAGTGATTTGAAGCTAAAAACAATTATTCAAACATTTCCTTCACTGAGACACAAAGGAGGTAATAAAGAGGTAAAGGCTGTCATGCACATTGATGCGTATTTTTTTTGGCCAAAACCAAAGAAGAGCTATGCTGCTAAACCTCAGCCTTCCTTTGTACCCTTAGGAGCTTTCTGCCTTGAAACAGAAGCAGTCAGGATGTCACTGGCACTTCCCATCTCAAGTGAGGAGACACTGGTTAAACTTCCAGTGATCAGCCAATGACATGGAATGTTTGTTTCCTCGCTTCCTGTTCTGAGATTTCAGCCTCTGGTATTACCATGATAACTAATAATGCAAATTCCTCTGTATTGACTGCAGTTGTCAATAATTTTATAATCTCAGGTATTAAAAAACCCCAAAAAAACAAACCTTTAATAGCATGATTTTTCTGATTAAATTCCCCTTTCTTCCTTTTCCTTTTCAATACCACTAAAACCATAAACTGGAAGATTAGTTGGGAGCTATGATAGGCAACGTGTAGAACTTGAAACTGTTGAGTGAACTGCTTGAAATTATGTTTACATCAAAACTTCACTTTAGACCAAAAAGTTGTAGCTTCTACACAGTTATTGATAAGTAGAAACATTTATTTTAAACTTCTATAATGATTCTACAAAGCCTTCTTCTTCAACTGATAGGTGTCAATCCAAAAAGCAGATTCCTATCCCCATCCCCCCCAGTAAGCTGTGACAGGTAAAAATAAAGGCTTGATGAAAATATAACCAGAGTCTTACTTTTTGTCACTAACTCACAAATTGTAAATATATGGCTTATTTATCCTACTTTGAAAATCAGATATTTGTGGGTAGTTTTCAATGTAGAGATAACAAAACTTCTTACAAAATCTTTCTTTTCTATCATTATTTGTTGTGTCCTTCAAACTATTTGAGATGGAAACTTGTTTTTTTATATCAATCACTTAAGACTTCTACTGGATAGAGGTTTGACAGAAAGACAAGACATTGTTTAAGTTTCCTTCACTTATTTTCCAAGTCCTTTTATTGTGGCAAAACACATTTTATTTTTAAATATAAAAGCCTAAAAAAATCAATTTTGAGAAACAAAAACGTATAAAATATTTTTAATTAGGTGGTTTGTGGACCAAAATCTCATTAAGACGTTAAACTGAAACTCTGGATATTGTCCACCTCTAAATACGAAATTTAAATACTAAATGATGGGAAGAAAGTTCTCATGTAGAAAATTAAACAAAAAATAACACAGGGTATTAAGTAAGACAATACTGACAAAATTTAGTCCCACCAGTTCTACTAGCCTCTAGCAATTCCTATCTACAACAGAAACACAAAAGACAAACTTATCTCAGTAGCAGGCTGAACAGAAATTGTTTACTCAATTGTTATAAAATGTAATTATTTGCACAAGTAGTATTTACAAATCATGTTGTCCCCCACAATTTTCCTGTGTATAGAAAAACGGTGTGATTTTTGAATACATCTCCAAAGTTCAACCATTTTATGCTGTATTCTAAAATAAAATGTAAATAGCTTTACCTTTGAAACAAGAAGTGAAATAATTTCTTTAACAGTTTCGTCAACCAAGTCATCTATTTTTGAATGGTATTGTTGCTGTAATTCAAAAGATAAAAAAGCATTAACATGTATATGAACACACACTTTTGTCGTAAGTCATAAATGGTGCAAAGCTGATAACCCTGCCAGATCAGATTTACTTAAAATTATCATTTTGAACATCAGAAGAACAAACCCTTGAAAATGATCCACCCCATCAACAGTTTCTTACATTCTGTGTTGAAAATTTTCCCATGTACACTGTTGAGTTAAGCAGCTAATGGGGTTATTATTTAGATGAATTGAGTTCTTATACTTATTCAGGCGAAGGAATGTGAAGGATAGTTTTTGTCTTCTCCTATATAATTAAGGTGGCCATGTATTTTTTTCTAAAGGGTTGGTTTAGCTGGAGAAGCAAAAAGACTAGAATAAGATTTAATTAATACAGCATTTCATGTCTGACAACTCTCATTCATAAGTTATTTTAAATGTCCTCTAGAAATAAAATGAGCTCCAATTGTTCATCCTGAAAGAGCCTTTCTGTTAGCACAGTGAGCTTCAGTTTATACAAATCTTACAATATGCTCAAGCAAGGGCAAAATTAAAATTTCATCAACAAAGGAGAATAGATGGTAACAAATTAATAGGCCATAGAAGGCATAGTAAAACAGACTTCATTCTCCGTAGACGTTTTCTTTTGCTTTTTCATAAAGAAGGTGCCTTTAAGTAAATGCTTTTAAAATAAATCTGAAAGACTTTTAAGATAATCCTACCGAGCTCCCTTCTGAAATTAACAGGAACTAGGGATCCCATTCTGTCAAGGAGACACATCAATTTAAACAGTAATTCTTCCTTTAGAAACATTTATCTGACAGCAAAGACTGTCCCCAATAGCCACTTCACAGAAAATGTGACTTGTAAAGACTAACCCTATCTTCCTAGTTCAAGGCTACTTGGAACAGCTAACAGCATAATGCTTGGAGTAAAAGTACTGAGGTCAGCATAAACATTAGCCTAACTTAGCAGCTGCCAGCTGAATAGTTTTCAGAATACCAAGTTTTAAAGGCTATTTTTCATGTTTTAGAGTCGCCATGCAAATCAAAACATTAATTCTGATCTGCTGAATATTTTTAGGAATGATTTTCTAATAAGCACAGATATTGAACTTGGGTTTAAGTTAAGAGAGAATAAAACTATGAGATGTGTTTGCCCACATATATTTGTCTGCTACAGGTTTGAACACCAAATGTCAATTTTTGTTTTTAATTTAAAGTTTAAAAACACTTGAAAAATGTAAATACACAACTCAGACAGCTGCATTCACACTTTAACAGTGCAAAAGAGCTTATTGGAAATACATCAAAGAACTTTCTACATTTTCATATATATTATATTCCAACCATATTTATGTCTTGACCAATAAAATATTGTCTTGATCTGCTAAGGGGTCTAATAACCCCAAACTGTGTCTGTGTCTGTTGCTTAAAAGCCTTCAGAAGGCAATGCTTTTTTACTGTCTGGAAACAATAAACAATTATTCTCCCACTGATGAATGCCAAAACTATATATACTCCTGCGATCCACAAAAAATCATTTGTCCCTCCCAGAAAGTATCTGCAACTTAATCTTCACAGTACATTAAATTAATATATCTATCTATGTAAGATCAGTTCCTATTTTTTTTTTGTTTTTTCTTGTATTTATCTTTTTTCTCACCACAAAGCAAATATAATTTTGTAGAAACGCAGTATAAGCAGTAACTTCACTCTGAACAAGGTGAAAAAAGAACTGAATCAAGCTTTTCAAAAACCACAACATGGCTTCAAAACCATGACATTTCTTCAGAAACAATTTTTAAATTACATTAATCTGGGTTTTTTTTCACGATTTACTGTGAATACCATGAGATCATAAATACTCCAACCCACTCCTCTCCAGTGCTAATTTCCACTAGAACAGTCGCCCTCAGCAAAACAAAACTTCAGATCCTTGTGGAAGATAATTTGACTCTGGGCTTTAAGAAGTTGGCTGAGCTTTGGCTGGGGACTGGCTGACAGTGCAGGAGGCATAACCCAGAGAGGCAAAAGAAAGGCACATCCTGGAAAAGTGGATTATTCCATCTGTCTGCAGCTCACTACAGGGATATTTACTATTTGCTATTGCCTGTCCCCAGAGCAGCATGTGCACGTGTGTGCTTGCAGGTTACTGCTTGTACACACATGGAAGGTGAAATGGCAGCATCAGCTCAGACAGAGTTGATAGTTGTGGTTTCCTTCTGATGAGAATCCAAAACTTTGTGATCTGGTAAGACAGGACACTGAGTCTGAAAAGCAGAAAAGTGAAGACTTCATCTGGAATCACCCTGGAGGATGAACAAGGACTGAGAAGCTGATGATCAGGCTGTTGCACAGTCAGACCATGAAGGAATTCTGGCTAACAAATTAACACGAAAAGCATATTACCATGTAATATAAAAAGTGGCTGTAAATATTCAATGAAAAAGAATGCAAATTAAAAAACAATGAAAAGACACTTACCCATTGACTAGCAAACTGGTTCATGTCACGGAAAACCAAAAGGAAAAATAAAGATGACAGGGTATAACAGGAAAATGATGAATGTCTCATTGAATCAGGAAAAGAAAAGACAATTACATAGAATATGCTCACTTGAAAAAATCAGTCAATGAAATGAAGAATACAGTATAGAAATGCAAAAATCAACTGAAAAAAAATGTCCAAATAGTGCAATTGTGAAGCTGCCTAAAGCAGACGCCCATTTTTTGTTGCCAAATTCTGAAAAATGTTTTTACTGTCTCTCCAAAACCAAATCAAACAAATTACAAACCAAATTACATGCTAATGCATTAGTATAGAAAGAACAGTTTTGATTTTTTGCTGGTGGTCTCACCAATCTACATAGCAGCCCCTTTTAATTTCACAGATTATTCCTGCTGAGAGTGACAACACGAGAGTGACAGAAGTCAACGAAGTTTACATATCCTTCAAAAGCACATCAGTGCTCTGCTGTGGAGTATTTACAGTCCTGGCAGCAGACTACTGCCAAAATGGTCCCTGTCCTTGGAGCCCAAATTAAAAAACCCCATTAAATTACCTGATTATTTCTTTCCTCTATTTTCAGTATATTCCTAGCCATGAATACTGGGTCTATAATCCATTTAAAACCAAACCTTATTAAATTAAAACCTGTCTGCAAAGGACAATATTTTGGCTCTGTTTTACAATTACAAAGGAGTCCTGTGAAGTGGGCTCTTTTTCTGTTGCAACCAGAGAGAAATTCCTGGAGGGGCTGCGAGTCAAGAAATCCTCTGAATGTTCAACAGATTCATAGGTCAAAGCAAACAAATTACAGAAGCACTCTGCGTGCTCTCTGGTGGAAGATGAGGGGTTGTGTCTTGCATGATGCTTATAGGGATCAGCTGATGCACACTTCTGTACCAACAGAGCTATGTGGTGCATCTCACCTAGCTTGAAATTAATCTAAGGACAGTCTGTAGTATGAGATGTTTCAGATCAACCAATCATAGGAATTAAACACAAAAAATTCCACTTACCTCTTGCCCCCCATCCAGTATGCAGAGTTTAGCTGTCTGTTTCTTGGCATCAACTAGGACGTTAAACATTGTACACAGATAAGAAGGGATACGCAAGTCTGTTGATTTGTTTGTCTTTTGCAGCTTCAGTTCAAATGCAATTCTTGTTCTGTTTATTCAAACACAATTTGGAATATGAGTATTTCTGATAATTCTGAACAACACAGTAAACGTGTATACATCTTACTGAACATGTTGGCTTAACGATGTACATAGGCATGAGAACATTTTAGAATGAAAATTCTGTGAATTCAGAATATCAACCTTTCAATAAACAATTGCATTGATGGTAATCTCAAGGTTCTGCACTTCTTCAGTGAATTCAGTTGAACAATAAAAGTATTATCTTCTTTATTTCTAGATAACAATATGTTTCCTTGTATTCAATTTAATTTAATGCATTGAAAATACCCCTTATTTTCCAGCTTTTCTATGCTAAAATGCATTTAAATGTATAAAATGACTCCTTCTAAGAAATGTAATGAAAAAATCCTCTTCTGGCTTTAATGGAAAGAGAGTTTTAAAATAGAAAATGAGTTTAATATTAAGAGTATATTAATATTTATATTGAAAATTAAGACATAACAGGAGATACATCATATAAACCCCCTATTTTCTTCTCACATCAGTGTAAATAAGGAGCATTGTCACTCAGATAAACTATACTTCAACAGATCTAAAGACAAAATATTTTAACTCTTATTTTTTAATGTGGGTACCAAAAATTCACACAGTATTTTCAGAAGATGGGAACAGAAGAATCCTATTTCCATTTTAAAAATTCTTAAGATCATATCAATATCACAAGAATGATAACAGAAGAATTCCATAATTTTTTATGAGTTTCTACTCTAATCTTTATTACCTGACATATAGTATCTTTGACCACACAAAAAAATAAATAGTATATTAAGACTGGTATGTTATATATTAAGACTAAAATATCAATATATTTTATAGTCCTGTAAATAAGACAATAAAGTTTGTTGTTTTTTTTCTGGCTCAAAATCAATATAATCCATGTATTAGTAGCATTGAATCTCTGCTACTCTTTCTATGTTTGATTAGACTAAGATTATACTAGTAGTCTTCCAGTCCTTTAAGATTTCAACATTTTTCTGAGATTTCTTAGATAACTGTAATTGACTGAGCTTCTATGCCAAGTTGCTTAGAACAGATGGATTGCTTTAATTTTAGTGTTTCTTACCTTTCTTTGTTAGATCTTTAACTTTTATTCCATTCCCTGTATCACTCCCCTTTCATAATCAAATAGAAAAGTTCTTTTAAATGTTTCTGGATTTTTAATCGTGATTTCATCACTCTAGCAACGGGCTCATATCCCTAGCCTGAGGTTCTACTTTTTCCTCCTGTGTTTAGAGAAAATTATTCAATACTGTGTCATCTGTAAGGATTCTCTGCTTGTTTAGCCTTTCTTATAAATATTGTACGTTTTATGTTTAACACAAGTTATCTAAAAAATTTATTGTCCCCATTCTATTATTTTTTTTAAAAATCCCAGATTAAGTTTTCTGAAGCACCCAATTGTAGACCTCTGTAAATTTTCTAGACATACAGATATTTCTTCTAAACTCAGTGATATTTACTGAAAGCTATGGCAGAGGTCTTTTCAGATCACCTATAATTAGTTTAAAAGAACATACTAATAATGCTAAGATACAGCTCAAAGGAAAACTACACTACATTTTCTGTAATTTTCAGAAGTTTAGCACTACAAAATTTAGCTTCACTTGGATGACTACGAGCCAGCCTTGTTTGTTGCATAAATGTGTAAATGTTGTATACTCTATAGTTTGTAATATCTTTTTTAGAGACAGTACTCTAAAATTGACAAATTAAATAATACTATTAACTGAACTTGAAGAATAATGTAGTAAAGGGGGAGGGAAATGTCCAAAAAGAGAAAGAATTCTTCTATCAGAATTCTGAGTTCTGTTAATATTGGCCACTAATATGGAACAGAAAAAAAAAAACTTGCTTTATTCACTTCCAAGGGTCTATTAACAGCAGATAGAGAAATTCTCCTTTGTATTTCCTAGATGTTCCCAAATTGCTGATTGCCAGATGCTGGAAATAAACACAAGTCATGCTCTCTTTAGAATTGCCCTGATTCCTGTGACAGGATTCTGGAATAGATATATCTCTGCAAGGCAGCATGAGCCCTCCTGTGTTAATTTTCAAATCACTCCCAACTTTTAAGTGATCATTTCAACTGTACCTTTTAACACAGGCTTCTATCATGTCAGTGGCCATGAGTTTAAGTCTCTGCTCTAAATGGCGGGCAAATTCTGGTTCTGGCCAGTGAAGATCAAAAACAAACATCTGCAGAGCATCCAGTTTCCAGAAAAGATCTTCTGATGTAGCCGATCCATTGCTATAAGAAACAAAATAAAACAAAGCCCCCAAGAAACAGAAGATAAATGTATGGATGTCTATCCCAGTTGCCACATAATTAAGGTAATAAGATTTCCTTATCATACCACCTTCCTCCTTCATTTCCCTGAATCTTTTAGCACAGCTGCTCTTGTTTAAAAATCATGAAAATGGTAGTGAGAAACTTAAAATATATCCCCTTAGGGTGAAAAAAGTCAATGATTTCTCATTTGTTAGCTGAGAAATATGGCAGGATAGGGAGGTAGAAGGGATGCTGGGGAGCATGGAAAATTAAATAGCTCAACTCTCAGATCGAGATAATAAAATACAGGATACAGGAAGAGTAAGGATATTTTCAGTATAGTGAAGACTCTGCATATGTTTTCTTGCCTTCATAACTCTGGTCAGTAAGTCTACCAAAGAAATGAAGATGCTAGAAGTGATATTTTAAAAGAGATAACCAGACATATAGTCCCTTGATAAATACTCATGAATTCTAACTGGGGGAATAGCATCAGATCTGGGTGGGAAAAAAAGAGAAGAGAAACTATGCAAAGAAATTTGTGTACAAACAAAACCAGCAGATTAATATGGCTCTATGCCATCTCAGATTGTCCACAATGTATTAAAGTTCTTCCACCCTGATTTGATTGCTAAATTTAAATACAATTGCTTGTGGTAAAATGCAGCAACTTAAAGCTAAAGTAAGCAGTTAAGTTCATTTACACTTTCACTGTCAATAGAGATTAATTACATTTTCATGATGTGTTGTACTGCAATGCCTGAGTTACCGTTCATGATTAGTGTATAGTATGCAACATTGAATTCCAGGATGTGAGTAACACAAGCAACCAAAACTCAGCCTGACAGTCCCAGTTCAGATCCAAACAGTTTAAGTATATCACAACTATCGTTGTTTTCTTCCGCTTTATGACTAAAGAACAGAATTATCAAAGTGTTAAGTGACTCCGGCTCTCATGGAAGGAATCAGTGAGCACTGATTGTGCTCAGGACAGAGCAGGGTCAGATTCAGAACCAAATGAAACAACCAGAAAGGACCTGTAATATCTGACCACCTCAGACAGGAGCACCACCAGTGGGTCACACCGGGTTAGCCGAGGCAGCGAGGTGAACTGAAGCACAGCTCATGTTCAGGGCTCTGAAGCGGCAGCAGGGATGCGGTCAGCTTCACTCTCACACCTGCATCCCTCCCTTCCAGACACACCCATGTGCCCCTTGCTCCTCAGCTTCAGGCTGCCCTCGGGCCAGGCGAGGGGACAGGCTGGGAGCAGCAGCTGCCTTCCCTTCAGTCCCTTCCTGCCCAAGGGAAAGGATGCTCTGAGCCACCAGGCTCCTCTTTCAGTGCTGCACGTTTGGACATCCATGCTGCAAAGCAGGATATTCCACAGCTCCGACACACTTCTAAGTTTAGGCTTTTTAGATACTACATTCTCCCCACTTAGGTTACACAGTAACTTAATTTTGTATCGTATTGTGGTCCTGAAAGAAAACAGCAGAAACAGGAAAAAGGCCCATGGGAGTGCTAAGGTTACAACTTGCACAGGGGTTCTACCTGTTCAGGGACCACTTTCATACATCACTAAGTTTAATTAGGAATAAAAAGAAAAACACAACCAAGGCTTCTGGAAAATTTATAATCCTGTTAGACTGCTTTTGAGTTGTATGACAAGCAAATATTGAAGATATCATTGCATCTGCTGTGTATGCTGACAGTGAGTGACGCTGTAGATGTTTTGTTTAGACCTTATCTGATTCAAAGGTGACTAAATCAAGTTTTGAGATGATTGGGGTGAAAGAGTAAGACAAATCACATGGGGACAGAAATGGGACAATCTCAGTATTTATATAATTGTTGATAAAAACACATTCTCTAGAAAACAAGCCAAACTTTCTCAAGAAACAAAACTAATCAGTTCCACCATCAGATCATAAAATTTAACCATTTTTTATTCTCCCACAGTTGTTTCTTTTTCACCTGATAGAATTAAAAAAAAATTCTTTAGGACTCAGGAGGACTAATGCATTCATAATAACATAAATGTAGTTTTATGCACATTTCCTACTTTGTTTACTACTACATTAACCACTAAGTAACCACTTAATTTTATTTAATTAGACTACCAAATTACGTTTCACAGTTATAATAAATTAAATTATGGGCACAGGTTTGTGGACGAATTCATTCTGTGAGAAACACTAATTCATTTCTTCTTTTTTCATATAATTTTGAGTTTTCATCCCTCAATTTTTTACTCAGCATTGTCCAATGACATTTGAATTTGATTAACATATTATACTAATAAGATGAGGAAAGGAAGTGCTACAACAGAAATTGTTTATTCCTGGTTCTCAAATCCAAACACAACAGTCTAATCTGTCTGCTAAATGCTGCAAGGAACTAAACATTTATTCCTGCATTCAAATCAAGACTGAATCTGTGTCCATAATTTGAGAACCTTTTTTTTTTTTTGTGAAGGGACAGAATATATTCTTGGCTATTGAAAAGTTTTTATCTGAATGTGCGTGTTAAAGCTACTTCAGTCTAAAGAAGGGAATAATACTGCTCTATCAGGAACCAGAACTGACATTCTTTCTTTAAGAATTATAATAGTTATCCATAGTTTTAAAATTAAGCACAAACTCTACTACTTTGCTGGCCAAAACTAAACCTTTCAGGTACTGTCTAGTTGTCCATTCTTATTAATCAGATCATGGCAGTATGAGAATTCAAAGAGGCAAATATAATGCACATCCTGTTATAGCCATTTTTTCTAATGGGAATTTAACTTTGCATTTGGTCACACTTTGACTGGGAGAGTGGACCAGGTATCTCCAGAGGCCCATTTTAAACTATTTTATGACTTTATGCCTTGTGTCATACTGAACACAGCAAAAAAAGAGATCCAAGACATAATGTTTCTCCAAGAACCTGCAGCATATCAAATCTAGGAGATGCATGCAGCCATAATTCACTTATCCACTGACACCTGAAAGAGGCAGCTTCCCACTGGGCTTGCCAGGTAACTAAGCAGTAGCAATTAGTCAAACAGTCCATTAATAAAGTACACTGGCTGCAAGATACTCCCACACATGACTCCAGAGAAGATGTAGCATAAATAATTTCTTGCCTACATATGAAACTCTGTAGGGTGGCTTGGGATATGAAAATATAAGCATTAAATATCTAAGAATATTATCAATCAATCAAAAGATTCAAAAGCAGCTGGTTTCAATTCTTCTATAATCTACCAAGGACAGGGATGGTCATTTTACAAATTACTCTAATTTTTTTTAAGGTTACTACTGAGATCCTACCCACTAGTGTCTTACAGAACATGGCACAAGCATTACATCTCTTGTGAGCCCCCAGCTTCTGCGCTCCAGCTTTTCATTTTTTATGCTGCCTCAAAATATATGTTCAGGGCTTAGGAAATCAACTGAGAATTTCTTCAACAGAACAGTATTTTCAGTAATTTCAGTGTCAGATGCACTCAGTCCCATCTCTCTACTTTTCACAAGCACATGAGGTGGAAGATGGAGCAGAACTTTTCCAAGCATCAGTTAGTGCAAAGTCCCCCAAAGATATGAGGGACAGAGCTACCCCATGACTCCTCTTAGCTCAAGAGTGAGACAACAACCTAAGGATCAAGCAACCAAAACAAGTTTCTTGAGTCTTCTTTCTTACTGCATATTAGTATTTTTGGAAGGAATGAAATTTGCCCCACAATATAAATCTGTCTTCCAGAATGCTCAATAGGACTTAGCTATTCAAAACTCCTTATTCCATAGAAAGCAGATCAGCCAGATTTCACTATGCCACCAGTCCTATGGCTATACTTTTAAATACCCATCCTTGGAAATGCAGGCCATGGCCTCCTACCACTGTACAGGAGATAAGCTCTATGACAGGAACAGATGTGGCACTGCAGATACACCCCCTCAGGACAGAGATGAGAGATGGACTCCTGACTCATTCAGCACTCACAGACACAGAGGGGCCCAGCACAGGAGCTCAGACATATTCAGACCAACTCCCTCTACATCACTATTGGAGCACTGTGACTGCTCCAGCCTTGTCCCTCTTGGCACTCATTATAGCTGAGCCATAGCAGCAAGAATATAGATGACACATTTCCTTTGATTTTGCTTCTTCTGGGTGGAAGACAAGACAGGACTATTCTCTTATAAGCATACATCTTATTCCAGGTTTCCCCAGCCTTGAATTTTCCTGAAGCTGATGTTTTAGATTGGTACCAGATGGCAACAGACAAACTCAGATGTGTATTATGGTTAGTGACACTATGCTATGTCTTCACTGAAAAGAATAATCTATAAATTAAACCATAAACAATTAAAATCACCCACATATCTAAGTTAAAATCCAGGTCCAAAAGATGCAAAAAAAAAAATCATATTTAAAATATGAAAAGCAATTTAAAATAGTATATTTTAGTTAATGAATAAGTGAGGAAAACTCCTCATTGTGGCTGACTGAAAGCTTTTACAGAATATTCAAACATTTTTCCTCTTTAAGATTATCTTCAGCCAAATGGAAGAGTAATTCACAGTGCTCTGTATGTCTAGCCAATGTGTCCTCTGAGTTACCTTCTCTAGAGACCAATCAAGAAAAAGAGACTACTACTTATAACAATTTCCCCTTTTCATATCTCACTTTCCAATGCCTAAAAAGAAGTGGAAAAAAGGTAACGATTTTTCTAAATGCAGTTATAAGTAGCATGTAATTATTCCTCCAAAAGAAATGATCAAGGACAAAATAAAGAAACAATTACTTAAAAAAATATAAATAATCTTTGCTAGTAATGTTCAAGGGAATTGTAGCAACTTTAAAGTGAAAATGGGGAAAATCTATCTTCATCAATAAAGCACACAAATGGATGTCCAACTGTGAATATATTTTCACTTCTTTCTCTTCAGTAAAATTCTTAGATAGGCACATAGTAGCTCTATTGAATATGAATATACTTAAACATGAGCTTGAGAGCATGGACACAAACATTAGTAAATTTCGGAGAATAATAAATCTCTTTCTATTAGAGATAAAAGAGACATAGGGCTTCAGCAAACCTTTAACACAGTTGGCTTACAGACTACTCACTCTCATTCTTTTTGAATCTAGATTCTTTATTGTGTAATTCAAATTGATAATGATGAATTGACCAAAATCATCACTTTCAAAGAGAAAGAGGAAAGTCCAGCAGAACTCTGTAATAAACGTAGTCATCCTCTTGCCAAATCATTGGTTTTGTGTCCAGGTGGAGGAAGCACAGTGAATTGGGAAAGAAAGACTTGGGGGAAGCAGTGGAGAGAAGGAGTCCAATTGCACTGCTAAATTAGATGACTCTGCTTACTATATGTATAATTCAGTGTACCCCTCTAGTCCATCTAAGCTGGGCTGTTCATCACATTGAAAGGGTAAACTGTGGAAGCTCTGGGTTTTGCTTAGCAGGCATTTGAACAAAGGTACTGGGTTACTCCTTGTAGAATAAGTTAACTAGTAAGTGTGTTCTCCTTGAAAAAGATAGGATGGGAGAAGAGGGAGAAAATAACCCCCTCCTCCTTTCTTTTACATAATAGTGGAAGTGACCCACTTCCTCTGTGAGAAACTGAGCCGCCATTACCAGGAGAGAAAAGGAAACTCCTTAGCATGGGGGGAGGAACAAGTGGCTTGCAGCACTTTTTTTTTTTTTTGTTTTTTTTTACCCAAATACATGACCATTCTGAGAATGGTAACTTAATGCTGCCTGCAATAGAGACTGTCAATTCATACACATTTTATAAATATAACCTCAAAGCTCTATGTTTTGGGAAAAGAACATGAAGAGATGCCTCCATCAGAGTCAGCACCATGGCAGATCTCTTCCTGAGTCTTATGTGTGGTGGCTGAAAGGGGATGATGGCCTTACAAAAGTCACAGTCACAGTAAGAGACATTGTCCACCCCCACTTCTCTTGAAAAGCAGCAGAATGACCAGTGTCAACCTCACTGCTCACCAAATGCTATGAAAACCTCTGGTTTCATAGCTGTTTGGCTTAGGATTTCATGCATACTGTGCTATATATACCATAAAACTAAATAAAAGAATGTGTGCAAGGGTCATGAGCCCATGACTGAATTTTATTATCCTTGCATGTGTTTGACAACAGAGTCTAGGAATATATTGCTGCACCAAAACCTTCATTTAGGAAAGATCTACCACTATAATCCTCCAACTAGAACCTGTATTAATTATAAATTCAGTATTCAAAATACATGAAATTTCATCTATACAATTTATTTTTACTGGATGGGGCTGCTAGAAAGCAGACTACAAGAGCACATCCAAGATTAGCAAATCTTCTCTGAAAGCTATTCTTTAAAAAAAAAAGTGACCTTTGAAAACCCTGGGATAACAGAGAGGAATTTGAGTTCCAGAAGGCCAATTAGTTTGTATTCAAAGCTGAAATGACTTGCATAAGCACATCAGGAGAAACCTAGCATTACTATAGTAAACACAAAAGGTACCAAAACCAAGGATTAAGAGGAATTCTGTCAATTTTTAGGGGAATTAACAGCAGAACAACAATCGTAATACTCCCTTTTTACAAGGAGTCACATGAAAAAGACAAGGGATAATGGGTTCAAGTTACTTCTGGGGAGTTTCTGATTAGAAAGTAGAGGAAATTTTTCACAATGAAGACAATCAGCCATTGGAATAATCTCTCCCAGAGGAAATGGTGGATTGCCCAACATTGCATATTTTTAAAATTTGTCTGGACAGGGCGCTAGGCCATCCTAGACCATGCTTTTGCCAAGAAAAGTTGGATGAGATGATCCTTGAGGTGCCTTTTAACATGGTATTCTGTGACTGTATTAACTCTTGCAGAAATAGGTCTAATGCTGTTTAGGAGTCTGTCATAAAACTTGAAAAGACAACACTTGTCTTGAAATTATATCAGCAAATGTGCTTTGAATGTGTGTTTTTTGAAGTCATTCACATTCATGCTTTCCTAATATAACTTCTGCTAAAATTAGTTTCTTGAGCCTTTCTCTAACATATAATTAATTTGTCCTCACACAGAAATCAGACCTGTAACTATGGAATATTTCCATAAAGCACTGAAATATGGGGGAAAAATCAGAAAGAATTTTTTTTTTTCTCAAGCAAACAAAGAAAGGGATGTACTTCTATTCTTGACAATTATTAATATTTTACTATTTTCCTGTAACATGGATATTTAATCTGATGACAATATTTATAATCAATGGTTTTCAGAACCAATATAAAATTATTTAATAAAACCCATGCAAAAAATATAATGGGCTGCCTCATTTTACAAAACCACAATCTAAAATCAATCATCCAAAAGGTTCCCCACTGCTTATTAATTCAAAAGAATCATTAGGTTGTTTAGAGTACTAAATATCATTCCTGCTATGGCAGACACTTGCCAAGTTGATTTTCTAAGTTACCAGGTTTAAGACTGCTACACTTTAATGCACTAGAAAGCGCAACTCACTAACAGTCCATGCTTGGCTCACTCCCAAGAAACGACAATTTTCAGCTAAGAGAGGATAAACACCATGCAATCCAAATACAGCTGCACAGAACACTAGCAAGGCCATGCAGAGCTGACATACAGTCAGAAAGTTATTGAAGAATACACACGTGGAGTCATACAAAGAAGTCATCCAGGTTGGTGTGGTAAAGTTAGGTATTTGTGGAAGATTAAGAGGCAAACTTGGAACTTTTGGAAGAGCTACATTAGGAAGACTGTTGGTGATGCTCCTGTGAAGAAATAACAATGTAGGAATACAATAAAAAATAGAATATTTAGAGGACAACAGGGGACAACCCCTTATTAGATAGAAAGCTATAGGCAGGTGCTTTGTTAGGATTTTGTAAAAAGCACTTACTTGACAGGTTGCCATGACTCTTGTTCAAGACCTCTGTGAATGGACTGGGCAATTGATGATTCCATGAGATCAATGTAGCGGACAACCATTGGAACAAAAATTTCTTGCAAGTGCTTGTGAAACTTTCCATTGCACAAAAGTGCTTTAGAAAAACAAACAAAAGACAAAAATGTCAGACCTTTTGTTATAGGAAGAAGTGTATCTTAAAATGTTTTAGTACACAAAGGCATTTTAAGAATAAGATCTCACTTGTGTAGGAAATACAGTTCAGAAAAGATAAATGAAGTGTTCCATAAGGACAGTGTAGTGCATCTCAGACTGTCAGTGTAATGAAAACTAGATACATACTAAAGATATTTACTGAACCAGAACCCTTTTGCATTTTCTCAAAATTAATAATATGCTTTGCTGAATCTAAACATTAGCAGTTTTGTTCATTACTTCTACACCAAGACAGGACAAAAATATCCAAAAAAAAGGAAAAAAAAAGGTATTTGAATGCCATTCATAAGCAGTAGAATATTACTTATTTCACAGATGGGACTTACTACATGAAAAACTGCATACACATGCAAACTAGACATGCTCAAAATCTGAAAATTAGTTTTCCATCACCACTGCTTGTCGTTGTATTCCCTGAAGTGTTCTCTCAGCAAATTCTAGCTCTTAGCACACTAATGTGCTGTCCCACCAAGGGAATATATGTTTCATGTTTTGAATGTGTCTGTGTTCACCCTTTAATCTAGCACTGTTATTAGGACCTATAAGAATATTCCCATGTACATATGGAAATCATAGAAGCTCAGGCACAGAGAGAAATTTACATGACCTTGGCAACCTTATTTTTCCCTTGTCCATGTTCTGTTGTTTTAAATTCTTTTGTAGGTTTCTCCTCCCACCTATTCCAGTATACAGACTTCTTGTGTGACTGGATGGACACCAAAACCACATTTTGAGGAGGCTTCCTCCTGGAAAGAAGCCTGGATCGCAGGGCTCACCATGGACACCATCCTTTTAAATTATAATCCCTTTTGTTCTACTACCAACGCCATTCCATGTTTAATGTCAAAAAAAAATTCTATAACTTCCAGAAACTACTTTGCCTTCCATTCCGGAATGACACCCAGCCCAAACTGAACCTGGGAGAGATGGAAACTATGGGGAAAATGTGCCATCAAGTTTCTGTCACCTATTGCTACTTGTATTGCAAGGAAGTGCCTTTGTTGCTGAATGTCTGAACACTATGTTACTTTTTTCTTGCATACAATGATCTGGAAGCAAAAAACGATTTTCTTGGAAACATCCTTGTAGAACAATAGGAAATATTGTATCAATCACCTTTACCCGAGGAAACAATGTGATCAGTTCTCTTGGTTTTGTGTAACTGCTCTTCTTGCTAAGAATTTTCAAACTTTAATTTCCAACCATTTTAGACACAGGGGTGGAGATATCAGATATATGAAGTTTTTTTTTTAAACAGGCATTTAGGTAGCAGGCAGAGATTATTAGGGTTTCCACTGAGAAAAAGGCAGAGGTGTAGGATCATGTCTTTATTAAACACCTGAGAATTCACCCTTGAGAGTACCTGTGAGTCCATTACAAACATGATCTATTATTTACAGTGCTCCTCAAAATAATTGTTTAGCTAGTTCTGGCTTATTATTTATGTATCAGAAATTCAAAACAGTTTTATTTTTCTCTATTTATAATTGTTTTACATATCTTAAAACTACGACACCTTTTATCAGCAAGAAAAATGACTGAGGAGGATTTGGATATTAATACAAAGGTTGCACAGTAAACTGCTGATGAGCACTGCCTTTGAGAAACAAAAGGTTGCTGGTATCAATTTGCATATTAGGCTGAGTTTTCAAGGCAACTTTGAGCTGAAAAATAACAACAAGAGTACAACTGTGCCAATTAAATCAATCTTGCTGCTTTGTAGCGAACCAGTAATTAATCAGGCAATCACAGATACTTGAAGGAATAAGGTTGTAGTTTAGTGTTTTCTGAGCACACTGCAGAAATGGTCTGCTACAAGCACTGCTCTGGGAATTACAGTAATGAAGCCTCATGGGCAGGAGGATGACTTGTTATTTCAAAGCCAGCATGAAATTTTAAGATGTCACAAGCAATAAAGGTGTTCAACATAAAAAGCTGAATCATTTTCCTAACATCATGACACCAGTCTTTACAGGGAAGTGAAACTTTCCAAAATTATGCCAAGACTTACTGTCACTTCACCCCCAGGGTGTTCCCTGTGTATGTGGGTACACACTCACTAGAGAACTGTCTTGGATCAACAACTCCATGAGCATTCTGTTTTCTCAGGGTTCAAGACATGGCAGCTCTGATTTACCCATCTGGAGATCTCCATCAAGGATTAATGCAGGGCAGGGAAAGAACTCAAAACACAGGGATAAGTGATATGGCTGAGTATCATCAGACTCATGGCACTCTACCCTATGATTAAAATTGATCTTGCCAAAAGGTGCCACCTGTGCATCAAAGCAGATGGGAAACAAGAGATCCTTGAGGAAATGCCACACTTAAGATCCCTCAACTACCACTTGTCTTCAAAGCTGTGTAGCTTAATTCTCCATTGTCTTTTCAATATAGACACCCCACACCCACTTCATATGAGTCATCTCATAGTCATACAAGCAACAATAAAATGAAAGCTTATGCCAGAGCAAGGTAATGTACAGGCAATATTAAAGGAAAACACATTACGGGAACAGAAACAGAACCCTGAAGTAGATAGTCTAGAAATATTGAAGAAGAAAATTATTATGTTTTTTCCATATTAGGAAATATATTAGCTGAAATATATTAAAACATGACAAGAGAATATCAGAGATGGATCTAAAGCTAGTTATTCAGTACTGGAATGAGGTTTCATCTCTAAAAGTAGGAAATGAATCTGCTGTGCCTGCGTACCACAAAAGTGGTGAGGCTTCTACTGCTTTCACTAACACAGGCAGATCTCAGGAGTTATCCTGGAGTCAGCATGTCATGCTGTCCTCAAGAGCTTCTGCAGAATCAGAGGCAGGGAAGAATGACATAGATTAACATGAGTCTCTTTTCCCTTGACATAAATAGCACTCTGTCAGAGAGTCTGTAATTATCCTGCGCTTCAAGGGACTCTACGGAAAAGATAACTTGAATTTTCCGGTATATTTTTAAATTCAAAATAAGAAAGAGTATATTTCAAGAAGGAAAAAACTTTGAGGGTCCAGATTATATTTATAACAATCGAAACTCAAGCAATCACATGTGAAAAGAAAGTTTGTATTCCCATTCATTTGCTATTTATATTCTGCCTCCACAGAGAATTTCTTAATCAGCTAGTTAAATTGCAGTAAAAATTGCAAGTATCCCAATTTATATGGAAATTATCTTGTATTTTTACATATAAGACATATTTTAAAAGCGAAATTTACAGGTTTACTTTGTGAAAGCAAGGTTAAAATTTATTTAATCTTTACAAGATTGAGTTACAGAAACAGCTTGTTGCACAATTTACCTTTGTGAACAAGTCCCATTAGGAAAAACGATTATTAGATATTCTGGAAAGGAATAATGCAGCTTGAGTTAACTCTCAGTGTCAGTAACCCAGACATGTAGCTCTTATCTGAAGGTAGGTGATGATTTCAAAGCAGCTCCTAGCAGGACTGAGTCCCGGATGTGAGAAAAGATACCCTCTACAGTGAGTGAGAGGTGTAAGGTTTGAGATATTGGGGTGGGCCTACACATCTGACGACCTTAAATCCAAGTTGTCTTCTAACTCTACCCTGTAGTTTAAAATAGGGTGTGATGTTATACATAAGGTCTAGTCCAAAAGTAGTACACAGTCTGTAACAAAGCAGGAAGGTGATGTTCTGTCTTTGGTGGCGTTTGCCACTCCACAACAGCAATGGAACAAAACGTATCAGAGAATTCCTTTCAAACGACTAACACTCAACATGCTGCTTTTCTAAATGAGCTTCACCAGACTCTCTACCCTTTACAGCAGACTCTGGCAGAGTTAGAGCAGGTGCACTGACATTCCACTGGGTAATATCTGAATGAGAATGAAGATTGTGAGTTCCCTTCATAATACTCCTAGTTTTGACTGGTTTGTGCCAAGGTAGCAATGCAATAGTGCTGAGCAACAGCACAGGACAAAGTGTCAGTAAGTGACACTTGGAGAAAAAACTCAGTAAGGAAATGATCACCATACTGAATATAGAGTTGGAAACCCTCTAAAACAAGCAAAATATGCAGACTCTCCATCTAACTAGGCATATGCCACTGAAAGATATCTCTCACACCATGTTAAATGAAGAGAAATTAATACATGTCTATCTTTTGAGCACTAAAAAGATTAAGAATCAGAATTAATCAGAAGATTAATCTGAATAATTAAACAACCACAGAAAGTAAATTGCCATCTAAAGCAGGTCCCTTCACAACATAATTTATAGGCTCTGTGGACAAAAAGTAACACAGTCATTACAGAGAATAAGACACAATCCTGGGACAGCTATGTTTTTCTTCCCTTTATGAATATCTAATTCCAGAAAAAATAATTCTGATATCACAGGGAGATGTTGAGAACTGTATCACTGTACAATCTGCAAAGCTTCACAGAGTCAGGCGTAATTGTGTGTGGACAATAATAACTCTGGAGATCATTAAAATGTATATTTTAAAAGCAGCTACAATAATTATTTCAAATATTTACAATTTGAGAAAACACATTAAATTTATCTTCAATCTATTATTAATCTCCACAGTGAATGCAATTTTTAAAATAACTTTTTGTGGTTAGGTCTCATAAGAAAAGCTGAAATATTTTACAAGATGGGAAGATCATCCTCCTCCCTCCCTCCATTTTATAAAGTTCTTCAGTTAGACTAAACAGGAATGCAATCATTGATATACTCTGCCTTTTGGAATAATGTCAGAAGATAATGGAGAGTCTCAGGGTGACACAAAATGAAGTCCTTCATGAAAGAAATGAGAAGCTTCAGTCAGGACTTCCCCATCCTCCCTTCTCTTTATAAAAAATTATACACCACATTGGAAAATGCATTTTTTTCTCATTGAATCTTGCACCATGTTTTTTACATTGTGTAAAATAGCACATTCACTATTATTTGAACATACATGAATATGAATTTCCATTATCTCAAAGGTTTTTTTATTATACTTTAGTGGCGTAGTTATAAAAATAGTTTTACATGCAAGTTTTCTTTAATGCTGTAGATGTAAGATTGTTTCTTTATTGTTAGGAGTCCTCTCATGTCAGGTTTATGTGAAAACTGATGCATGCACCAAAGATTTAGAGCTCATTTAATGTTCTTGAGATAGAATAACATGCAGGTGTCAGTCCTCCAAATTTCAGTGAAGATTAGCCTAATATGCAATATGGTGACCTAACTGTTCTTCATTTGAAAGAAGTCTGAAAAGTAATCTCTGATATAGCCACAGAGTGAGAATAACCCAGTGGGATTTCCACCTCTTCATTTCCTAATGAGTTTTTTGATAATGAGAGGTGACTTTGCCAGTCACTGTGGGCTCTATTATGGCTAATTTACTCCACTTCACTCTCCTTGTTAATTATTAACACTAGCCTTTTTATCCTCATGAGACCACATTCCAGTTTTTCCCTTTTTAGATTCTTTTTCTAAATATATCTTTATGAAGGTGATAGTTTTCAGGACAAGGTTTTCACTTAGGGTAAAGTCAGAATTACTAATTTTACCTTGGAAGGCATTAAAATTGATTATATAAGCATGGGACACTCTTGCTAATGCTTTTTATGCAGTTGCAAGGTGAAAAGGCTGTTAATTAAAGAATAAGCACTGAGGTATGTTCCACTTGGGAATCACTTCCTGGTAGAATGGTCACTTGCCACTTGCAAACATGTCCTCTGATTAATAGGTGACTAATTTCCATGGTTGCTTTCCAGTAGTTCTGGAAAAAGAAAAAGTGTGTAATTTTCCAGATGGCTTTCACCTGCCAGAAACTGTCATTTAATATATCTATTACCATTAGGGAATTACTGAAATTGGAATACAGGTGTGATATTTCATACAACAGTTTTTTCATGTCCTTTAGTTAAAGTTTTACAATTCTTGTAATAGTTGCTTCAACATGAAAGTTTTCATAGAATGCCTTTCTTAAGCCTGTTCTAGTAATTTAACATTATTATATGTTTACTTTTTTAAGGAAAGAAAAGTCAGCAGCCTATAAGCAATCTCCTGCATGTGAGGACAACCCTTGTTTGTTTCTAACACTTCTCTCAGGTTGGAACCAAAGATCAAAGGAACACAAATGACACAACAATAAAGTTAAAACTAGTGTCACAAATCCTTCTTGTAAGACTACTGTAAAATACCTACACAGTTTTCAGAAACCAAAGAATTGTTTTAAGTGCATGTAACATCACAACTAGAGATGTGATTCCTAAACTGAAGATGTATGATGGTAGGAGAAGAATCTGAATATCCCATCTGAATATAGGCTTCATATTTTTAACCTGAATTTTAGATGGTTGGACATCACTTAAAGAGGTGCACAATCCACCTTTCAGGAGTCCAGCTCTTCTGAGATACACACTAAGACTGAAAAATTCCTGCACCCTTTTCAGCAACCTTCTCAAGCGGCATCATGGCAATTTTAATGTTTCTGAAGTTGCAGTTGGCTCAACAAAGGATCCAAACAGAATTTTTTTTGTGTGGATTTTATTCCATTCATGCTAACACTACTACACCTTTACAGACATAACTAGTGTGAAAGAAGTTTAGAAGGCTTAGAAGGAAATCTAAACTACAACTTTATTTAAGCAATATAGATTAAATGCAAACTATCAATACCTCTTGTGCTACTTGTACATAATTGACTCAAAACTGAGCAAATTGTGAATACCAAGTGGTTAATGCACTGCCAGAATAAGGACTGAAATGGTACAAGGATAGAGAGCAACTGCTCAGCTTGCAGGAAATGGAACACAAAGATATGTATCATAAAAACAGGCATTGCCACTTTTATTTTGTGGATTATCCTATTTAAAAACACAAAAAACAAATTTCTAAGGTGTGGGTACATTGAAAAATCTTACCCAGACAGTATGTAAAAAGTTAAGATCTTACTGTCATTCCTGAGGGCATTATTCAGCAGCTGGAAAAGTGGGAAGCTGTCCCAGGAGTCCTGTGGCTGTGCCTCAAGTGCTGAATCCATATCGACAGAATACAGAGACAAAAACTTCTCTGCATGCTCAGCCAGCAGTTCTGGCCACCAAGCAAATGCCTGCAAACATGAAAAAACAGAATTAATAAGCATGAATCAAAGCAAAGAGATGTGCTCTATCTATGTCAGAATACATCTGAGTGACATACCACGTCCTGTCTCATTTGGGGAGAAAGAATGGGCCAAGTAGAAACATGTGAAAATATTTTATAAAACTTTGCATCAAAAAATGTAAGAAATCACACAGATTATTGTGGGAAAGGTGATATGATCAGAATAAAAATATAACATCAAAAAAATCAAAAAAGAGAATATAAATGCCTGCAACTTTTTTCAGAGAGCAAAGAAAAGCGTGAAGGCCTCACCCTTCAAAAAATGACTGTATGTTACTTTTGATTTCATTAAATTCTAAAGCAGATGAATTTATTTTTAAAATATATCTTTATGAATACATTTTGAATTCATTTGGTAATCAAAAAGGATGAAAAGGTTTATTGTGAATTTTTATTCCTTGAAGTCTGAGGGTTTTTTTTAACATCTAGAGAGTGATTTTAATTCCGACTTTTGCCTTAAAGATGTCAGCTTCTTCTGAGGAAGACATTCAGCTTTCCTTGTACAAATGCCATAAATCTTTTATAAGTTCACTAATGTCAACACCAATTTCCAGCAACTGAACATGTTGGAACAGTTTTCTCTGGCAAAAATGTATATTCTTAGGCAATCCTTAAAGAAGAGAAGAAATCTGTGAATAATATCAGCAAGTAAAGCCAGCTCTTCATTAAAGACATATAACTATTGTACTTTTTTATTGTCATGTAAATCTAGGATTTTAAATGTCAGTATTGGAGCCGAGCATTGGATCAGAGGGAGCTCTGTGATCCTGCAGTTACAGATAAAGGTGAAAGGAGTTTATGAAACAAGATGAACACTGAATCCTGCTGAGAGTGTTTTGCTCAGAGTTTATAAGAACATCTGACAGTGAGAAATGCCTACACATGCAACACAGGAAGATGTCACTGCTTTCAAACTTATGCCACTCATTTTGAATATACAATTTTGAATATTTTGGAGTTGCCAACATGGAACATCTGTAGTTTTATCTACAGAAGAGCTCAATCCCCTCAGCTTCAAATAAATTCACAGAAATCTTCATTTGCATTTATGGAATGTAGGCCCTGGGTGGTGTAGAATTACGTAGTCAGGTCTGAAAGGCATACCATAAAAGACAACTTCTGTAAAGTGGTCTAAAAATGTGTTTTTGTATCATGGACTTTCTGACAACTGTCTGTAGTTCTTTCTGGCATGGGGCAAATGGAGAAATGATGAATTGGCAAAGGGTTTTAAAGAAATGCTGGCATGCCCTGCTATTACTGAAAAGTACTTTGTGTGTTCCAGTGGCAGGATTGAAGGATGACAACTTGAACCATAGTGAGGAGAAGAGGCTTCATAAACTTTGGCAAGAGTTTGAAATAGAGTCTTTAATCAAACTGGAAGAAATTTCTTATTAATGAAGCCTGTTTAAGTAGGAGTTAATTAAAAGAACAGATTCCTTACTCTAGAAAATACCTACATGAAAATAAAAAAAATGTATATAGGTACTGGTAGGGGACCCTTCTAAGAAAAAAAAAAAAAACTTTTCAGAAAATATTGCCAAAATTTCAAAACAAAGCAAAACCAAAACTAGGAAATGAGCATATTTTCTCTCCATTTTCTTCCTCATTGTAAATGACACTTTGAACCCAGACAGAAATTCTTCTGACTCTCTCAAGAGTTATGCATCATTACTTGGGCAGCAAGAAAGAATAATTAAAAAAAAAAAAAGAGCTAAATGTAACAGCACAGTTGTTATGGATAATAATAGACTAAAAGCAATTAGCAATTGGTGACACACATTCTAGGAGAACAGAAACATTGACCAAATTAAAGGATTAAAGGAAAAATGGAGTTCTTAGATTCTAGAAGACACATGAATGTAGCTATGCAACACCAGAAATCATCAAAACACTTTTTGCTACATGTTCAATGCACAGCTCCATGTATGAGCAGAGCAAAACAATGCTTAGTTGGAATCACATACCTCTCTTCCCTTTGGGAATCCCCGAAATTTGTAAAAAAGAAAAAAAAAAATCTAGTATTAAAAAATGTGATATATTGTTTTACAGATTACTGATCCTTTTCATCAACTGTAGCATCAAACACTGAACATTTGCATAACATTATGATGTGAAGTCACCATACTTAATACCCACTTTTGAGTAGGGAATGTATTATTTGGCAATCTTTTTCTCAGATATATTTTAACATTGAATTTCATTGAAATTGAACATACATTACATGAATGAAGGAAGGGGGAAACAACCTTACCACTATCTTCATTCTTTTCAAGGTATCTTAGATTAGATTGCGAACTTTTGATGAATAAGTTTTTCTGAAGGCACATGCAATATATTTACTCTTCTGAAAAACACCACATCTCTGACTGCAAATAGGTAGTATAGAAAGCAATCTTTGAAAAGAGATGCTTAATCATATATATGTGCTTTGATATGGGTTTTGTTTCTGTGTTCTTTTCACACAGAAGTCAAATTTTCCTACCATCATGCAGATCCTCAAAAGACAAAGACCACAATGTATACATTTTATTAAGTAATCATTACATTGTAACACAGTGGCAACAGTAGTGTAGAACAGGACCTCCAGGGAATTAATTTCAAATCATCAAAACAGCTGTTTCTTCAGTATAAGATAAAACATCTATAACAAGTTCACACATGACAGATGTAAGCTAAAAACCAGATTCCATAGTGTGATATAAAACCAGATGTTTTGAATGATCATATTTTATAACTATATATACTAAATAATGTTTATCCCTTTGCATATTTTCCAAAAAAAATATTTATAGAGTTTTTTGTGAACATTTTAAAAGCAATTTCCTGAACCTTAGAAAACTGTATTTACTAATTAAATTTCAATAATATATACAAGTGTATCTGGCCAAGTTAAGTTTTGTAATTCCTTGAGATAAGAGGTGCTAGAATTCTAGTTATTATGGTTTCTGTGTCATGAAGCAAAAGATGTGAAAGTAAGAAACATAAAATTGTTTTATTTCATTTCTTCTACATTACAATGCCATTTTAAAAGCACAAGTTTAAAAGCATACTTTTCCAATCAACAGAAGAACAATGGGAATGAGATTATTATAACTATTATTATTTTTCTGTCTATACTCTAGATCTATATAGGATGATGAAAACCAGCATTCAGTTATATTTTCCTTCTATTCCGAACGTCGGGTGAAAAGTTGGAAGGAAAAACTGTATAAGGCTATGAATGTTTTCCGTACCATTTCATCACCTCCAGCACAAAGGTGCTTTCTCTTTTTTATGCTCTTTAATTTTCGTCTCCAAACCTACAGCTCATTCAAGTGAATTGAAGTAGAGTTTTATTTCACTTCACTTTACATAAGCTTCAAGTCTGCTATTACTCTGTAAATGTGAGCTGCCTTAAACATATGTCAGAAAGTAAAACTAAGATATTTCTTGACAGACTTGCTTTGCATCAGGGGAGAGAAAATCTAGGAACAAACCATTCTCTACAGAAAATGCAATTACAGTCTCACCTCGGAATGATGCTCTTCATTTTGCTGCAATACTTCAATACAGAGTTCTGCAAGGTGAAGAACCTCTTCCAGTTTTCTTGCAGGTGTTGCTTGATTCATGGTCTCTGTATGAACACAAAATGTAAACCAAAATTTAGTTACAAATATGATTTACAGTAAGTGAAAATGATGCCAGAAACTAGTGGGAATGGTGCAAACTGACAAATTTCTAAAATAAAAGAGATTTCAAGTGTTAAGGATAATAATTTAATACACATAAACAGAGCGGAATGTCCAGATCACTAAAAAGAGAAAATAATTCACAAGGGCATCAGTGGTCATAGTAAACATCATCTGATTTAATATGTGAGAAATAACAGGTGCATCACTGTATTAGATGATAAATTTTTGCAATAAGGAAGTTCTTTTTCTCTTCGAGGCCATATATACAAAGCAGAGAGCGGAGACCTTTTTTGTTATTGTCAGTAGAATGTCTTCTCTCCAGATGACTCATAACTGTCATCAGCAAAACTCATACCTTTTGCAGCAATGAAAAATTCCAAATGTTTCATCAAAAAAAGACATTCCATTCTAGGCATATTCAAAAATAAGAAAAATGAAAATCACAATAATTCACACAACTAATTTCTAATAACTATTTATTCAAATAACTAATTTTCTACCTGCTGTCCATCAGTAAAGGTGAATTTGCATTCTTTTCAGTACCATAGCAAAAAGTAGCATTATGAAATAAGGATCTTAGAATTAACACAAGCCTACTAAAAATTCCACCTAAAAGAAGCACAAATGCAAAAGTTACAAATGACATGAAGCTCACTCATTCTACCTAGAAGACTTCAAAAAGAAAGGAAACAACAAAGGTAAATCAAATGTAACTAAAATACAGGGAAATTAAAAACCAATTAGTTTGCAATTAAAAAAAACATAGCACTAGATTTCAGAAAGAATCACAGGAGATAAGGGAAGAGTCCAACAGAAGTTTTTTACAAAGATATTTTAATCAGTAGAAGTAACTTGTCCAGCTACATAATTTGTATCATTAGGGATAACTTGAGCATTAGCTATTAGAGCTTGTTTACCTAACAAAACTCTTCTTGCTAAGCACAAATCATGGGATGATGGAAGTGATGTACAATATAATCATATATAAAGTATGGTCACATTAACCAGATTTGCAGAGAACTTATAAAGCCGGCAAGGTCAGTGAGTGTTTCAGGAATTCTGTTTTCTCACTTTTTGTGCATGCTTATGGATCACATGGCTAGCCAATCATGTGAATACACATCTTCATATGCAGGAAATTCTATTGGCATTTCCTTCCCACTTTGCATTCATCATTACATAGAACATTAGCAGATTAATTAGACAATTCACATAATCTCCTTGATGTTAGTAAGAATATCAATCTGCATGCAAGAAATATATTTAACACAACTTTTCTATCAAGTCAAAACAACATTCCAGACATTTTAAAGGCAGTGTCATGGGGTGACTTTACCTTTAAGGTGGTTTTGAGAGCTAAGGAAGTTGAAACTGCTGGTGGCTGATGGGAGTCTTTCCTCCCGACCAATTATCAGTCATTTCTAAGAACTGAGAGCAGTTTTGACCATTAAAAAGTTAAGTCAACTTGTGAACACCCCCTTAAGATGTACAGTCAGAGCTCTCTTGTGCTCTTTTGTTTCCGGCTTTTGAGAAGGTGACAAGGCCCTGTCGTGGCCTCCTCCTTCCCCCCTCACCCCGGCCGGACAAGGCTGCAGAGGACGAAGGGCGGGGGGGAGGAAAAGAAAGCAGAGCCGGCAGCCTGGTTTAGTTTTCAGTTTCTGCTGCTGGACTGAAACCTGACACCATGAACTGTTACAGCTTTTCTAAGGCTTTTAATTCTTTTACTACCTGGATAGAATGTACAGATTACTCCTTTTTCCCAGAAAGACAGAGAGAGAGAGAAAGACAGTCAACATAAAAGAGACATCATAAAACCACTAAAACAGTGAAGAAAAGAGTTAAGTTTTAAATGGGGAAGAGAGAATAAGGAGATGCTTTACAGCTGAAATATCTTTCTGTTAAAGCTATGGAGATGGACAATAGTAGTTTAAAAAAACTCCTTTAATTCATGACAAAGTATATTGGGAGGAATGGAGTGTTCCAAGTGTGGATTTTGAGCAAAAGAGAGAGTAATTGTGATACAGTGAGTTGCTGGAACTGAGTTGAGCGAAGATTTGAAGCCTTGGGGGCAATGAGAAAACTGTTTTCCAGGAAAGCTCACAGAGACAGATGAAGAAGACTTTTGCCTTTGAATAACTCATCCTTAAAATGCCATCCCTAGACTCATGGCCCATACACACCTCAGAGTGATGTGAAATGGGAGGAGAAAATCTGATGACAGATTCTAGGCAGCTGGCATCAGGGCAATGGAAAACTATAACAGCAATAGTTTTCTTGTGAGAAACTCCATAGATTAACAAAAGAAGACTTCTGTTTCTCTACAAAGACTGATGAATAGACTGTAACAAGAATTGGGACTGTTTTTAACCATGAAAATTCTAAAGTTTTTTATCTCTATGTTGTCACGTGTACAAAGGAATGGTCAAGTAGTGAGAGATAAAAGAGTATTCTGGAAGTTTATTCTGGTATTTTTATTCCTGTAGTTTTGTTAATAAACTGTCTTTATTTCTTTTAAGTTTTAAGCCTGTTTTGCTCTTGTTCTAATCCATATCTCACAGCAAGAAATAAGTAATTTTTTTTAGTTACTGGTTTAAAACCACGTCAGGCAAGTGACCTTGTCCAGTTCTCCAGCACTAACACACTAATGCATATTACAGTGATGATACAGCTTTGGTGTAATTTTTGAAGAAACACTGGATTAGAATCTCCAGCAAGCATCTACTTAAAAGTGACTAAAACTCCCCATTGTTTTCATGCAAAAACCAAGCAGGAAAATTAGTTATTGAAGCAACTACAAAGAATTCCTTAAATTTTATTAAAAGAGAACACATAACCAGTTACATTGAAATAGTCTTTTTTCTAAAACCAGAATTTAGCTCAAGAAAGAGTTAGTGTAGGAACATGGGTCAAGCACAAAGCACACACCAGGCACAAAACCCCATTCATAATGCCAAGACCATTATTATCAATACTGTACTGTATTGCATTTACAATTTTTATACTGTACAATGTTTATATGAATATATATATATTATATGAATAGAACAATATATTAATATATTCATATATATTAATATATAACAATATATGAATATATATTGAATATATATAGAATATATAGAATATATTCTATATATTCAATATATATTGAATAGAGATTATAAAGGATTGGCCAAGTGACTATTATTAAGGTTTTATATTATAAAGACTACTATTTGATTGAGACTAAACCAGTGGTTTCTACACTTACCGTGGACTGCAATTGCTCTTTCTTCTAGTCGTCAGTGTCCTCCCCTCCCTGAACACATAGCAAGTACAATTGATACAGATCATATACATCACTAGCAGTGTCACTGATGTTAATGAGTCTTAGGAATAAACCAGTGACATTAATACAGAGCATGACTGGAACATCTGATTTCAGCATAAACATCTAATTTTGATACAAACTCAGCCTGATCTTTATTACTTCACCACTAACCAAGTAAACAAAATAATTGCATTCACAATTGCATACATTCCTAATGAAACTAAATAAGATGTAAAATACTCAAAAATTATATCCTAGAAGGACTCCTCTAAATTATTAAGAAACCAATTCTAATAATTATGTTGAATCTCATGTTGCATTTTTGCACCAGAATAAACTTATTCCACACTTGCAATTAGCTCAAGATGCCCTAAAAATGGCTATTGAACGGATATCATTATCACTAGGGAGAGCAGGGGAAAAAGGATTTACCATCTAACTGTTGAGATTATCCTGCTCCACCACTGTGACAAGATCACAATGAAAGAGAAATACAGTCTTGGGCAAGTACCAATTACATTGAACAAGACATTAAGGAAATGCAGTTCTGGTCATCTGGGCTGAAATGATGGATTTTGATCAGAAATGGAAAAGAAAGGGTTTTTTTTTTTGTTGTGTTTGTCTGAAAGACATCATAAGCCTAATAAAATGAAGGATGAAAAAGAGGATCAGAAACGTTCACACACAGGCGATGTGGGAATACAGTGTTCCCAAAGTGGAAACACTTGGGAAGGAGAGGACCAACCTTTGACCAGGGATGATGCTAGCAGAAGAATAAATGAGTCATAATAAGTGATTTAACCTAGACATTTTAAAGTTTTTAGTCATTGTGGGACTAATGATCAGGAACAGTTTTTTTCTATAGAATCAGCATGTTTAGGAGGAAAAAGAGTATGAAAACTGTAAATATACCTTTGAGTATGGCACATTTCCAATTGATGTTTCATGGCAGGAATGACTAAAAATGTGGGCTATATTAGACTGAATCAATCCCAATTTCATATTTTCATAAAACTCATCATGCTATTTACTAGTTTACATTGAAACTATTTATTACCAGCTAAAAAATGCAAATTGCCCTTAATGTTTCTAGCTATTTGCAATATTTTTAAAACCATTATTTTCCTAGAAGATTTGTTCACAAGAAAAGGTGGCAGAGAATTGAACTCAGTCTATATCCTTGGACAAATCTGTCTCGTTTTTGGTTTTTTGTTTTGTTTTTTTTTTTGTTTACTTATTCACAGAATAAATCAGTACATGTAATTTCTTTTGCCCGATACAGACTTCCCCACATTTCACTTAAACTTCATCTAAACCTTCCTTTTCCATGTGTAAGTTACCACACCAGCTAGCCATTTTTCTCTTTAACTGAAGACCATTCAAATTCTAAGGAATGTGTTTTATGAATATCCACCATTAACAAGGGACTATGAAGTAATTTGAGAAATAAAGAATGAAATATTAACTTTTCTTTTTAAAAAAAAAAACCAAGCAAGTAGTGTGTACGAAATATGAGTAGCAATAAATTCTTATTTGGAAGTTTCAGAACCTCCAAAACACCTGAGCCAAATACTGTTCTTGTCTTTGTAAGCATAAAGGAATTACAGGAATGGAAATCAATGCTGTCAGTTT